ATCGTGTAAATTGCTGTTCGCGGTTTTTGCAAAAGAATCAAGCCCCAATTAATTCGAAAAATTGCCCAATTTGCGATAAAGCACCCAATCTGGTCACTCTGTTTGTGTGGTCGACTGGCACAGTGAAAAAGTCTGTACGTAGCCAGACACGCTTTATTTTATTTTTAAAGTCATAAATCGTTCATAATGTATGCGTATTGTTAATAGAGGCTGTTAGTCGTGTTTCAAATTATACTGCAATATTAAATATTACGCAAGAATTTTGTAACTCTGGGAAGGGAGGGGGAAATCAATTTTTTTCTTGTAGGGTGGGGCAAAAGCCACTTTTTTCCTGGCTACGCCCATGCCTGTGTCGCTAACGAATTTAGCCCACGGGAATCAAACACTCACCGGATCCTCGATACCTTCTTCGTCAGCTGTTACAACGCATGACTCCCCTCGATTCATCTGACCTGTCTTGCAGTTCTTTTTTCTTTTCTTTTTTTTTTTTTGAGGTCAATCCCCTTTTAGGTCAGCCAGTGACCACGTTGAATTTTATTGAAAATTTTATGCTCTGTTTGCGTCCCCATCCCCCTTCATGATAACACGGAATTTTCTCCTTTTTTGGGGTCAACCACCGTCGTCCTCTCTGCGACGTGTGGCTGGCCTGTGGGATTCCCGTTTCCATGACCGTCATTAGTCGTCGCTGCGGCGAGTTTACACAACGGTGGAATATTACGGAAGTGTAGTATGATCGATCATCCGGTGACTGGGCTGCTGTTTGTCGGGATATTCGAGGCTGGATTATGTCGGTCGCGAGCCATCTGTTCCTTGTTTCGTTGTAGCCTCTAGGGGATTGTTGTGCAGGAAAATGGAGGATTATTTGATGAAAAGGTTTTAAGGTTAGGGCATTTTGTCGGACGTAATGCAAGAACCGTTTCGATCTTAATCATGTATTCCTGAATGTTGATTATATCGTCACTTAAAAATTATTTCAGAACCAAGACGAAACTAATCCCAAATAATTCAGATTTGTCTGTATCAAACGATTCTAATAGAAAATCACCTTTCATCTCTTCCTCCGGCGTTCGGAGTCTGTGACACTCTCAAAGTCAAATTAGAGACCGACAAATCTCTTTCATCCACTGTAATCGCCAAACTGTCGGAAGATTCCTCTGTTCTACTTCAAATTTTCCCTGCGGCGACCGCTGACCAAGAGAGATCCCAGAGTCTTTCCGCGTCTCTGTGATCCGAAAACATTGTAGAAATTGCAGAGGTCGCCCTTTACTAGACATTGAAGACCCGATGGTCCTTTGAATCCCTCGAGAATTTCTGCGGTACTCGAGAATACTATCCCCTGGTAGGAGCGGGGGGCAACGCGGAAAAATTAATATCGCGAGCAACAATGGGAGGAAATGCGGTTGCCCATAAGGAGTTTCTCTGTGGACTGCGACGGACGTCCTATTTCCTCTTGGGAAAAACGAAGCCCCCCCCCCCTTCCCTCGGTAAAAAAGACATTTTAAGTATACCGAATTTCAAGATTCGAATTGTGGTAATATTTAGGGATGTTCAGAAATACGTAAATTGGAACATAAAATGATGGACGAGGATATAATATCCTTTCATCTATTCTTGATGACAAAAAATGTTCTAATATAGGCGAAGACATGTGAGGACCATGCACTGTTATTTTGACTGTTATATTAAGTCTTTCATGGAATTGCTTTATTTCCAATACCGTTTTATGGCGCACATGTCCCCCTGTTCGTAGTCCTTGTCAGTCAGGACCATCGGTTGTTCTGCTATTATAATGCTCGACGAAGATTAGGGGAATCATTGTGTTGTCAACGAGTGGTGCGGGGATTAACAATACAAGAACCGATCTGGATGTATCGTTTTTCAGAAGATATCTTTGTCCCGTCGGTCTTCATCCGTCTAGCCCAATCAATGATCCTGTTTCGTCCAGGGGTTGGAGGACGTAACTCGAGCTCTGCTAATGACAGGTGGAAGGCTACTCTCTGTGTACGCGATAACGGAGGAAAAATATTTGCCGGTGGTTGGAAAGGTCGCGGGGCTGAAATACATAGACGTGTGTACAACGCGAACGAAAGGTTGAATGGAAAAGGTTCCTCCACGGATCGTTCATTCGCAGAGGGAGAAATTTTGTTGGCCTTTTATCAGGGGTTACTTTGCGTACCTAAACCGACTTTGCGGCTGTGGATGTTGTAGAGTGAGGAAATCAATTATTCTACTTGTATCGAAATTTTAAACTGAATTAATTTTTTTATAAGATTTAAATTTAGATATTTGAGGAAATAGATTTTTAGAAAAATTAGCTTGTTAGATATTACTTTCAAACTTACCCTTAGCTAAGAATTAATTTGCTTAGAATTACCTTTTCAAAAAAATCTCTTGTTAAATGTTACTTTAAGTGCTTCAGAAATTTTCTTTACATTTGAAGCATATCTGGACTAGTTACCCTAAATGCTCATACTGTCACTGTTTTTTGTTTTTAAATGTATGTAGTGGCTTTCTCGCGTGCCACATTCCGTTCCCTCCGCCTTCAAACTTTTCTGCTCTTTCTTCCGTTCGCTTTCGCTTTCAAACCCACGAAAAAAAAAGACTCGCCTGTGCACGCACATTGTTGCGAAACGATACGCAACCCCCGAACGCTGCGCTCATAAGGGTTGTTCCCGGGTCTCTCTCTCCCTCGTCTGAAACGTTCCACGAGGGGTAACGGTTGCGAATGCATTCAGAACAGTTTCACACCATCAGAAAAGTTTTAATGCGACAGAGAAACAGGCCTGTTTGCATTCGTTACAATTCATCTTTTCACTACTTCGGTCTTTGAACTCTTGCCGTTTCTTGTTCTTCGTTCTTACTAGTTGCGCACGCTAATTCAAAACTGCGAAAGCACTGTCGTAAGCTGATTAGTATTGTACAGTCGGGTACAATTGCGAGTATTCTGGAAACACATACCACTACACGAAATAACCAGAATTTTTAATCTTTTCATTCTAAAATTATTTCACAATTACGAGAAGGAAATATTTTTGTGTGCATTTTTTTGAAGAGTTCTTAATAATAATCTAACTTGCTTTGGGATTTGCCGAAAATTTATTTTAACAAATGCTCCAAGTGATGTCCATCAACTTCGATAAATTTTTCCATGAATCCCTTCATCGTAGTTATTTTATTATTTAAATCTACTCTCATACATTTGTCGATTTTTCGTACTCAAGGTCACACGATGGTCACACTTTATCGCTATCGGATATTGATACACCGAATATCCTAGATTTCGATGTCTTTCGATACTTCTTCTAGACTTTGCATTTAGGTACCGAATTGTTCGAGGATCATCGATATGTATCGTATCAGTCCCATCACTAGTTTCGGCAATGGTGGATACGGGGTGGAACGGACTGTCGAAATGACGTCACAACCTCGGGGGGTGAGAGAGCCCCGAAGGGATGACTCATGGGGGTTGAATGCCGGCAGCGAAAAAGGGGGATAATACGCACCTATAAACCCTGTACCCTTCTGCTACATTTTTCGACGGGGCGGGGGGGGGGAGGGGACCCTCAGCGATGTCGCTTCGCCTTGTGACGATCTGCATACTGGGTTCATTTCTTAAACCACGTCTACACTATGCAGCGTAACACGTTATATAGCAAAGTTATAGTACTTGTTAGAATAATAGGAAGAAAAATATTATATAACGTGATTGTGTCGTATATCAATTTATATGTTATTCATTATGTGTGCCACCATTATTAATAATGAGATGCGAAATGTTGTACAAACTTGTTATGGACTTGTCAAAAATGCATAATTTTGTTACAAGTTATCAAAATATGTACAGCAAGGTTATACAACGATTTGTTATATAACACTGTTCTGCTATACAGTGTAGACGCAGCTTCAGTGATATACTCGGGTGTATCAACATTTTATACCGATGTCTCTTGGACCGATACCGATCGATATCAATTCTATCTAGCAACCGAGTAGATATCGATATCATAAAGAACAGAAATTACTATTTTCAACTACCTTACGAATACAGAAATTCCTGTTTTATTTGTAATAGTAGTAATTTCGATACATTCGTGACGTATCGAACAGGTATCGATTCTTTTTTATGATTGTACGATACGAGATCAAAATTTACGGCCAGGTATCGATAGTATCGGTCCGGTATCGGTGCCAACGCCAGTCGAAACCATGTCGTCGTTCGGTTATTGTTCAAGAATGGGAGTGGATATGTCCCGCAGATTTTCTTCGTCCATTTCGTCGACCGGATCGATAACTCTTCTCGATGAACTCGGACGCCGTTATCCGAACCGATAACGGAAGACCGAGCGAACAACGAAAAAGGGAATAAAAATAAAGAGTCTGGAGAACAACTACTCGACCGGGCGATCCTTGTGTATCGCGACGCGACAACGGGGATCGTTAAAAAACCATTTCTGAGCTCGACTTCCGTTTTCTGCTCGGCGTCGTTCAGAGATCCTCGAGGCCCTCTTCTTCTCTCTGTCCCTTGTGCTCCGTCGACAATAGACGATCCTCGATGGGAAAAAGGGGGATGATGGGGTGGGGGGGGGGGGGGGGAATTACGTTCGCAAGTTTAATTAAATGGGATCGTATCTTGCTCGTGGATAGCGATATTTATGGGGATTCCACTCCCTCTTTTTATTTTCTCCAGTTTGGAAGAGGGGAGGGGGGTGAAGTCTATGGACGTTCGACGTGTGTCGTATTATCATTCAAGGCGGGTTCACATGGACAGTGGAATGAGAAGTAATACACCGTCGACACGGTTCCTTTCAGCCACGGGTAAACACCCTCCCCACACCCCTTCTACTTTCTCACTTTTTTTCCTTTCACTCCTGTTTACATCTCACCTCCGTTTCGATTAATAGGGGAACTGGAGGGGGACGGGGCGTTCCAATAGGGATTTTTAACGAGTACACGGTATACGTAAATACATTTCCTTAACTCAGAATTCCACGATCGGGCAGACGTACACGGGATCCATACTGGTGGCTGTGAACCCCTACAAGGAGGTGGACTTCTACACCAACGTAAGTACAAAATGGATTCATTAGCCGGATTTTGCCTGTGCAAACACGGCGCTTATATGGTGATTGTTTTTTTTTTTTCTCTTTTGTTTCTGCGATTCTGGTGTAATCGAGGCATTGTCGGTGTGTTTTGTATGGGATTCGAGCGAAATTTCGTGTATTCAGTGCACTGAGAATGGTTTGAATGTACGAAGGGTGGTTGGAAACTGGTGGTATGTCGTTTTCTATACAGTTGCTGTCTGCACTTTTTTTTTCATTGGATTGAAGGATTAGATCGAGTCACAAATGCCTTTTGCTGTAAAATAACTCATCCATTTGATTGTATCAGAAAATGTTTTAATAGATTCTGTAGCATTTTAAGGAACACATCGAATGTATACAATTTAATTTTTTTTATAATTTTTTTTCCAGGTCAATGCATTTGTTTTACATTTTAGATCTACAATGTCTTTTGCATTATTGTGTCTTTTTTTTTTTTCTTATTACTCGACCCAATAGTAACCGTAATAGCTACCGTAGGAATGGAATAATCAATACGGATGATCCAATGAATAATCGATACAATAAGGTGAGGTCCCCAGGTGTAACGCTGACTTTTTTTAAAAGGTTTAGCACAGTGACAGAGCTTAGAATTCTCAAGCTCTCGTGGAGGATTTACTGTAGCTGGATTTTCGAAGTTTTTCGATGACGTGTCAGGCGAACGTTTGAACGACAGATATGTCATTTCGCGGGGTTGGAGAAATAAATCGACCACGTCTTTCGATCCTCTCGCCCTGACCCAGAAAACCAGTCAAGAGCGATCCCTCTCCACCGATCGTTGTTTCGCGATATCTCTGCGAAAGCACACGTCGCTGCTTCCGTTTCCTGTTTTCAGGCGGAGGCCTAGCAATTCCAATACGATAAAGGCGTCCTGTCGACGTGCGATTCACGAGCTTTGTCGACTTGAACGAGCCGAATAACAAACTTCTTACAACGCGTGACAGTCTATTATATGACCACGCTGTGCAGTCTGTCTAATACAGACGTTAGATTGATGGAAAATAAATGGCCGGGCTAAAGTTCACTCCCAAGTTAAGATTTCTTTAGTTATTTCTGCAGCGTGATAAAAGTTAGAGTTAGGTAGAAGGACATGTATAATGAGTTACGTAGAATTAAAAGGGTCATTATGATTAAGTTACGTGCAGGGTGTCCCACTCATACTTTTCGAAATTACAAAGTCATCGATGTTTTTTTTATTAAATGGGGCTACATATGTTATCAACGTGGCGTTATGATTGAGAACAAGACCAATCCAATGCACCTACCATAGTTTGACCTTCGTATGGCCTTGAATGAGAAAAAAGAAGTATATGGGAGTAGATTTAAATAATAAAATACCTACTATAAAGGGATCAGTGCAAAAATGTATGGAAGTTGATGGACATCACTTTGAGCATTTATTAAAATTAATTTTCTGCAAGTAAGATACTATAGGTGCTCCAATTAGGTGGGGGACAGCCTGTATATACTTCTCCGGTGGCCGTTTCAACGGCGCACGCGGCGGTTCGGTAACATACGAAGTGTCTTAATCGTATTCAGAAGGAGAGGCCAATTATTATTTATCTCAAGGAGGGGATCGACGCGTGGCGGCCTTCTCTTTTCATCGGGCGGCCCGAGACGACGCTTCTTGATTATTTACTATTCATCCCCGTAACTTCCGGCTCACATTCGCCGCCGGATGTGCGTAAACCGTTGCGCGCGTTTCACGCAGCCCATCACAACACGGGGCTCCGGTCGTTTTAATTTTCTTTACGAATTACGGCTCCTAATCTGCATAAGTATATTCGATCTCCGAAATACGATTCACCGTAATTACAAACACGTTCCCATTGTAATCGCGAAAATTCACCGTATATAGGCTCCCTCTACAACCGTAGAATGAATCAGCATCAACCTTGTAAAGCCGAAATTACTATAGGTGCTTCGTAAAATTCGTGACACAACACTTCCAAAAAATTCATCTCAGACTACATTCGAGAAAATTTATGAATTGTTTGTACCATTGGTTGAGGGATCGTCGAAGTTTCGACTGGGTCGATCGTGACCCATAACAGACTTACACAGCATGTAAAAGCATTTCATAGAATTGTACAGAATTTCGTAGAATTTCCCAGACCTCCACAGAATTCCCCAGAAGTCCATAAAATTCCACAGACTTAACCCAGAACTCCACAGAATTCCCAAGAACTCCACACGTCACCAACGGGCCGCCAGTGACCCGACCATCACAGGAAGTCTTTGATACTCATCGATTTTCCTAAAAGAAACAGGATAAGTTTCAATAAAACACGAAGATCCGAAAGTAGCGTCGCCACATTCTCCTTCTCCCCCCGCCATTTTAAACGACCTTGGATCCTCGAAAGGCAAGTGTCTTTAATTATGGACCTCGTATAAATTGGTCTCCTATCGCCATAGACACGTGTTCCCAAGTGCCTCTCCTCGACTGTTCATTCTCCTCGATAATCGTACGATGCACTTTTCTTTTTCTTTTCTTCCCCCCTCCCTCTTTTCGTGGCTTTTAATCTCTATTTTCGGTCGTCATCCACGGGTACTTAAACTCGGCGACGGTTTAACGCGCGGGCATATCAGGGGTTGCTGGGATTAGTGGAGGAGAAGGGGGTGGCTGGCGAAACCTCAACGCGAGAGGGACTTATTTCGGGATCGAGTGGTGCCCTGCCACTTCAAACGTAAATACATACATACATACGGGTCGCCGACATCCGCCATCGTTTGTAAAACGGTCCTCGATATCCGTCAATGGGGACTCCCATAGACGAACGACAGATTTTTAGACGACAGAATTTGTCGTAACGACGTACAGTGAATCATCGATGAGTGTTCAAATGCCCCCTTGACATTAACAAAGGAAGGGCCCTAACTATCCGACACTTTAGATAACTCGATACTGCGTTTCAAGACGAATTCGGTAACCTTGAACGTATACAACTTTTTTCAAATATTTTTCGAGTTACTTACAAATTCACTGATTTTCAACGGAAGGAAACCTGCTCGAATGGGAAGCACAGGAGGTAGTCTTAGCGCTTCAAATTCCACGTAAATCAGCAAATTTGTAAACGCAATACAGTGGACTCTAACTATATTGCCACTAAACATATTGCCACGCGAAGCACATCCAGTTTTTGCGGAGGCGCTGAGGCCGAGACTGTATCATTGCGATTTTACTGCCCTACAGCCCCGACCATGGCAATATACTTAGAGTCCACTGTATATGGAAACTATCTGTAATTAAAAATTACTGAATTCGTCTTGAAACGCACTATCAAGTGATCTAAAAAAGATATACATATTTCCATTTCAAAAATGAAACAATTTTCATATTTCTTAAAGTAATAATGTTATAAAAAATTGCCCATAGCCCGTTGATTAGCCTCCTTGCGCCATTCAATTTTACGTAGACAGTTTTCTGGTATTTCAAATAGTTTAGGCAATAACGGACTGTATACTTTTCTGTCAAGCACATCCTGTATACATCCAAAATTGTCCAGCCACAGGTGTATTTCTGGAATCCCAACAAGGGCGTTGGCGCGCTCCTTATTCGTCAAGAAAGATCGACGCGAATCTCATCCACGAGGGGAAGGGGGGGGGGGCACGCTCCCAGACGGTGCATAAAGTGTCCTTGAGACCCGAAACCGGGCACGGTGTGAGAGCAGCAACACCATGAATTAGGGGGATTCGAAGGTCAGCCAGGGGAGGAGGGTACCAAAAATGAGAGCCACAGGACCCCTGGACACGCGAGTAGGAAAAGGTTGGCTCTCTCCGGTTGCGGTGCACGCCCCCGTGTTATTGATCGGGCCGAAGCGCACATCGGATTCGGAGACTCGTCCGTGGTGGTTGCCCTGGAGCCTTCGGGAGCCTCGTCCTTTCCTGTCGACGGCGATCGTCCCGTTGGAGAGTAGTTACCAGGCGAAAAAAATACCAGAATTGCTATCAGAGCTTATTATATTCGGACGAGATATACAGTAAATGTTGGATGAGTGTTCGAAGGCTCCTCAGCACTGAAAATTTCGTAAACTAATGGTCGTATGAAAGAAATATCGGAGGCTTCAGAATTCTAAGCTCTTTCAATATGCTAAACCTCGTTAAAAAGGGGGACCTCTCATGGAGTCATTAGAATAGTAACACAAAGTGCCAAGTAATGTCCAAGTGGGTTGTATTTTATTAGATAAATCTTTCACATTGGAAAATTAGAATTTTTGAGAAAAAAAAATAATCTGAATATCACCTCATATCTGTTTCCTCTGGCACGCGTGTTTCTAGCCTCGACCAGATTTTCGTTATTCTCAAAAAGTGCACACGAAAAAGAAAAGTAAACGAGCACCTTCCAATCTCGCGTATTAAAAAATTCTGTTCACCCCCGAAGTGGTTCGCTGAAGCAACGCCAAGTGCAATCTACTCCGAGTAAAGAGAAAAATATTTCGAATCATCCAAATGGTAAAAACTGTCTAATCGCAAAATTGCTTTCCTGTATGGAAATTTCATTTCTCCCCTATTGGGGCCTCCTGTTTCCTTGTAATCTCTTAGATTGCGTGCCCGTCATTAACCGATCGAATCAATTCTTAACAATAATAACCCTTTGCACACTCCACTGGCGTAACTACATTAATTCAATACATACAAAAAAAAAATTGACGAATAAAATTTCAATTAAAACCACTTAGAACCAGTCAGGACAAATAAATTAAGCTGTCTCTAGATCCCTAGATCCTAGCTTTAACTAAACAGTGAAAAGTATATGGGGCTTATTTCGACAAATTTTGAAAAACGATAATTTGTTATATTAGTATCCTAATATCCTATCCCTCGGCAGAAGAAACTGAAGCGTCCCCGATATTCCATCGGAACAATTTTTATCGCGCCGTTGCTCGTTCCACTCCCTGGTATTCTTCTCGATCGATCTGAAGTGTTTCGAAGTAACGAACCGCGCGGGATGACTCTTCTTTACGGACGATCATCCAGGCAACTGGACCAACCAACCGTCTGTCGTCGTCGACGATCGGTTCGGCGGACGTGAACGCCGTTGTGTCCCTGTTGGATGCTTTTACGAACGCCTTTGTTCGTTCCAGCGGACGTTCCCTCTCCCCATTTCTTCTGGGAGTCTCATTCCTAGGGATGTTCGATTCACTTCAAAGAATCGATTCTCAAATCGAATCGTCAGAATTGTTTCTCTCAAAATACGTCTCAAATATCTCTCAAATATTGAATTGAATCGGAATCGAACATTCCTACTCGTTCCTACCGAAACGCGTTTGGCGATGATTCGTTAGACGATCTCGGGCAACGGGACCAATAAGACATGAATAGACAGTAGAGAACTAGTTCTTTCAGCTCCCGGTTACCATTCAGAGGCCTGAAAACCCTTTTTCCTTGGCTTGACATTCGATTTCCGTGGGGATCGCGTGCAGTCGTTCCTCCACAAAGCAGCGAAAGTCACTTCACAAGGTACTTCACTGTGGGGGTGAGGGGATGCGTGTGTATACTTGCTGGAGTAGACACGATGCAGTTGCAGAATCGACGTGGGAGCTGATGTACTCATGTTTCCGGCGTACTGAACGACTGACTTGAATATGGGGTATGGAGACGCTCTCTTGGGGTCGGTCCCCGTTCGGTGGTCCTCGAGCCCCACTCGATGCTTCCACTGTTTCAATGCAACGTCGACGGATATTTAATTGCAGACAGAGAAACTGCAGTCTCGCGAATGTCGATTAAATCTTGTATAGTTTTCCAACTGGCACAGTAATTGCAACTAGTTGCAGGTATTATCCACTTGAGGGGCTAAAATGGAATAATGAATATAACAAGTCCTGCGACATCGATAAGACCTGTCTCACGAGTCTGGCCTGTATTTTCTTTTCACCGACTGTGTTTTTAAGTTTACTGGTGTATTTTATATGTGTGTGTCTGTGTCAACAATCATATATTGTTTAATGCACTAAAATTACTAAAAAATGTACGATAACATTTAAAGAAACAATGATGACCTTCATATGACCTCTACGCGTTCACATAGAAACAAGTTACATCATAAAGTGTGCTCACTGGTACCATTTTCTTGGAACATTTTTTAATCTCGTGAATGGGTTTCGAAGATATTCGAGTGGGTCGATTTAAATAGTACACCCTGTATATTTTTTTTAATTACCCCCTACTCGTAAACACCGAGGAGCGCAGGAATTTTGAAGTTGCGCTCGATACGCAGCAATTTCTATCGTTTCTGGGCACACATTTCATTTCTGTTCCATAGACACACTCGAATGGCCCTCGAAAGCGTCGAGTGACGGATATGTGACGCTCATATATTTTCAGAGATTTCATTTTCCGTGACAGCTGCGCCCCCTCCCCCTGCGTTTTTCGCAATAAAAGTTAGATAGCACGGTGAGAGCTGTTCAAACAAACCGTTTCGAGGGACAACGTGTAGCGCTCAGAGCCGAAGTCTCCCTAAAAAGCAAAACAATTATCGGAAGAAGAGGTTATGTTAACCGTCCTGGTTCCTCGGGCGGACCGAACCGGATACAGAGCAGATAAGATACTACACCGCCGAAAGGGACTTCCGTACGACGGCCACCTGGAATTCGTTGCACTCCGCTATTTTTAACCGAGCCATTTATTTTCTTAGGAATTCCACGGGAACGCGTTTATCTGCCATACGGCCAGCAGTCCTGAAGATAATCCCCTTCAAAAGTAACCGATAAGTCCGCTGTCGACCATATTTAACGCCGGATATATTTTCGAAGACTTAATACTGGATCGCTTATTGTACATATATTTACCACAAGTTCATTAAATATAGATAAAGAAAGTGTATTCTTCGAGATTAAGGAACTAATACACGAAAGCTGTGAGGGGCGGCACTAACAAGGATATTGTGGGTGGTTTCATTAAAAAAAATATCTGGAACCGTTACGAATCAAGTTTCTGATCTCTTAAGAGTAACTTTCGCCGTTTTTTTTTTAAACATATAAGTACAAAAATTAACCAAACCCTAAAGAATTGTTGTTCGAGTAAATCTATTCCTATTGACAAAAGTGCAAAAATAATAATTTCACTTTTAAATCAAGAAATGGAAAAGAAGCAATGTTTTGTTATCCAAATCGTATATCTGTACCTCATTCCGAGCTATCAAATTTTATGTTTTAATTCCCGTACACTGCAGTGAATTTGCAAGAGGGGAACAAACGTATTTCGATCATCGATTCCCTCCGATCGAACCTTCACCGGCGACCTTAATCAACGCAGCGCGTACAACCCATTAAGGGTTAATTATCCCTGCGCAACCCCGTTTCGCGTCGCTGTTTTTTTTTTTATTTGCTCTCTCTGTTCCATTTTTGCACGTCGCGTCGGCCAACGACACCAGGGAGGGAAGGGTCGCAAGCACGACCCCAGAGCCATTGGTGTGCAGTCCTGACACACGAGGCCCGTGGCCTCTAGTCGCCGAGCCGTGCACTGATTCCGCAGTCGCAGCTGCTCCGGGGGGAACAAAACCGGGACACGAGTTCGTTCCACCAGAATTAGAGCACTAGTAAGGAAGGTATACGTATCCGCCATTTTTATGCCAATGGATGGACAAGTCTACAGCCGGTCCAGGTTAAAGCACTATAAAAGTGGGTATGTTCATCCGCCATTTTGGGTCCTCTGGAGAAAGACCGCTATGGAAAGCCTCAACCTGGAGTACAGACGAGATATAAGAATAGACCTAACATCTTATAGGACTCACTCCATATAAAAGTTTCCGATTTCAGAAACTATAACTTCCGAATATAACGATAAATACATATATTATTGTCCCGGTTTCGCTAGCAAGGAATGGAATACAGAAATTGTACGGGGGCTTCTGACGCCCCCGAAGCATGGGATAGAAAATTACATTGCATGTTAGGTCTATTCTTATATCTCGTCTCTGCCTGGACCCTCTGTGGACATATCCATCCACTGACATCAAAATGGCGGATGAACATACTCATCTCCCTAGTGCCTTACCGGCATCAAAACACATTTCGCCGCGCTCCGGCAGCTTATTCGACCCTCCACCTCGCGTCTTTAAGGGGTCATAACGCCACGAAGGCTTGTTTTTTTTTCGTTTTTTTTCATAAGGTGGAGAAGATCTCCTCGGAGACATTTCATCCTGCCTTCATTCACATTTGTTTTCTCCAAGATCCGTGAGTGCTGTCTCATTTCGAACATTGGGCAGTCTGTGTGTGTTTCGACCCTTCGGTTTGTACCCGCTAGAGCGCGCAGCAGGCCATGTTGTTCGGCGTGTGTATGAATTTCGGAGAAGACATCAAATTAATCTTGCTAGGCAATGAACTATGCATTGGGCAATGTTTCATTATTCGAACTCCACGAGGCGGAAGTTTTGCAGTAGGTTGAAAATGGTAAAATTCTGAATCGATCTTACTTCAAATTTTAAAACAAGAAAAGGGAGAAAATTTAGCTGGATATATAGACTGTGAATTCATTTAGAGTGAAATTCGAATACTTCAAATTAAGCTTTTCAACTTTTCTGAAATAGCAATCTGAACCACTGTACCAGCAATCCACTTCTAATGGAATCAAGGGGGGGGGGGTGCGAATGTCGTCGTCGCCTATCGTCGAGGATTACGCACCTCCACGTCCCAGGCTCGATGGAATGCGCGGATCGAGCGTCCCGCCGATGAATTTTCACGATCCTACCCTTTGTCGAGGGGGGTGGGGGGGGGTGGTTCACCGGAATTAACGCTCCTCTCTGCGCTCTAGAAGATGCGCGCACGGGTGGGGGGCAGGTCTGACACGAAACTGGGTTGCACTACTTCGCTGAGGCTCCGTCAGCACCGAGGACATACCGACTGGGGGACTCTGGGGCTGACGCAGCCGTGCATAATGCATGGACGCGCGCGCTCAAGACCATACCTGCCTGGTAACGGGCGGATTTGCCTGTTAAAAAAGTTACGAAACTTCCTGGAACAGCGTAAACTACCGTTTTGATTGAAACGACACACACTACGGTTGCAGCATTTCAACTGCTTCTGCGAGTAGATTGTTAAGGCAGGGCAAGGATGTATGTTGTCTTTTGATTTGTCCTAAAATATTCTAAAATGGGTTAAAATTACGAACATGTTTTTTTGTTTTACCTGTCTTTTACTTTGAATAGCCAAATGCAAATGTATACTCGTAATTAAACAAGAATATGCCATCTTTTCGTAACGAGTATACCCGATGTAAACATCGAAAGGGTGTAAATTAAGTGGCAAAGAAAAAATTGTGAGATGGAGGTTTGAACTTTTTTCTTTTTGAGTCAGGACGAAAAGACTCCTAGTACGCGGAGCTATCATTAGCTTTCATTACCGTTTCAAACGCAAGCGTCCGCCCGTCGGGACAAACAGATTCCGATGATCCAATCGAAGGTTTGTATTAGGGGGAATGGGGTGGGCGAGGCGGGAACGTCGACCCTGGTAACCCGATTAATTGCGAGGTGAACCGTGTGTATCAGGCGGTTTGCAGAAGGCGTCCTGTGTACACCTATAATTCAATTTCGAACGGGCCTACGTTTACGACGGTCGTGAAAACGACGATCATATCGCGGACGCGTTATTTCTGTGACCAGGAATCGTCTAACCGTTGGGTTCACTCAACCCCTAACTACTCATACCCTCCCACTACACGAGGCTTCGACTACTCGACGCCTGGACTACCGAATGCATAGACTACTCAGACCCTCGAGTAGTAAACCCCCGACTATTCGGCCCTCGATACCCAACTACCTACAACTCCCGACCACTCATCGATCCAAACGATCCCGAACTTTCGTGCAATAGTCGAAAGTCCCGAGTTGTCCGTTTTGCTGAACACCACGAAGATTTCACATGTAGTCCTCGCTGACCAAAAACTTTGCATGTCTGTTCTCCCAGGAGTACGTAAATCGATACCATGGACAGAAGATGGGCTCCCTGGAGCCGCACGTGTTCGCACTGGCGGAGGCGGCGTACAGATCACTGCAGGACACCGAGAGCAATCAGTCCTGCGTGATATCGGGCGAGAGTGGCGCCGGCAAGACCGAGACCACGAAATTCATCCTGCAATACCTGTGCTCGGTGACCAGCAACGTCGACACGTGGGTGGAGCAGCAGATCCTCGAGGCGAACACCATCCTCGAGGCATTCGGTAATTGGACCCCCACGATGTTAATAAGCAAGTTACCCCCACCCCCTTCCGTTAATTCTATTTTCTCGGCATAGTTTACCGTCCACAGCGATACACTTTGTGTGCACGCGTGTTGCTGTTCTCGACGTTTCACGTAAATTTTCCGTCTTTCCATCTTTGTCTCTCAGAGAAGGGAGGGGGTGTTTTTTCTTTCTTGTTTGAAAATGGATTGAAAATATTCGAATCAATTTCAAAAGGTTGGTACTAAAGAGAAGAATAATCCTTAATGGTTCTTTTATAAAAATGACCATCCCCCAAATCGGAGCCGACTGTTTCATTACGTGAAATTGCAATTCACTGAATTTAAGGCCTCTTTGCCACGGTTTCAATCCCCTATTAATCGGTTAAAGTGGCCCTCGGATTACGCGTCGCTGGATTTCGTTGCTTTTAATTAACATTTCGCGGTGTGTTTTTCGGTACAGTTTCGGGGGCCATTTTCCACTTGGAAATATGTATTTTGTCGAGGTATATTCGGGAGGGAGGGGGTCCGTTTTGTATGTCCAACCCTCAGAAATATAGACTTTCCGTGGTAGACGGATCGATGAACGCTATTCTTAACGGCATTTAAAAATAAAAGGGGGGGTAGGGATTCATTACGCGGAGTCAAGAGGCCGCGAACGAGTCAGGTGTTAAACGCAGGAAACGAGGGGTTAAAACTGGGTCACGCGGCTGGAAGAAATGAAAAATTGTACCCGTTCTCGCGGTTTCCATCGCGGCACGATTCCACACAGCACCACAAGAGGAGAAAAAAAACATATTTCTCTATTTATATTAATTAAAAAGCATGTCACACACGTTCGATACGCAAGAGTGACCTCTGAAAGTTCCTTTTTAAACCTAAAACACTAACGTTATTCGAGATTCTTTTGATCATGAATGTTTGTAAAATTTACGACACCCTCCAGATTGTTAATCTTACGACGGAGTATTGCAAATTTTATCGTTGGTTAACGGCTATATTACATACACTAGCGATCATATAAAAGTAACATTAAAATTTTTAATTGTCAAATCTTTCCATTTCTAGCGCCAAAAATGGAGATTCCCATTAAAAAAAATCGAATTAACCTCGAAATGACCTCTAAATTTGCCTCCTATGTCATGGTCAAGATCACCATCAGATGCCTCTTTTTAAACCCTAAAACTTTCGTATCAAACATTCTTTCCAATAATTTCATCCTTCCGACTTAATCTCGGCTGCTCATCATTTTCGTACACCCTATAGATCGTATACCTATATGTCACGTGACGCTCGTTTTCGGGCTCCCCCAGGTAACGCGAAGACGGTGAGAAACGACAACAGCTCCCGTTTCGGGAAGTTCATGCAAGTGTGCTTCGACAGCAAGTGGATGATCAAGGGTTGCATCATCCAGGATTACCTGCTCGAGCAAAGTCGGATCACATTCCAGAGCGCCGGCGAGAGAAACTACCACGTGTTCTATCAGCTGGTCGAGGCCGGGACCAGGGACAAGGAGTTCGCGGACCAATACAAACTGATGCCGTCCGGCCACTACAAGTATCTTAATCAGTCTGGTTGCGTGAAGATCGATGGGATCTCGGACTCGAAGAAGCTGGACGCGCTCAGGCTAGCGTTCAACGTGCTCCAGGTAATTAAGCACGTCGTGAAGCGATACTCTATACCGTGCGAAGTTAATTGCCCGTTAATTACCATCGGGCTATCGTCGATCGCGTCCCTCGACCCGAGAGAATAATACACACACACACACACTATTTTTGCCACTTACAGAAATAATCCCGCTTAAAACGGATTCCTGGAAATGGAATATTTTGGAAAACCCTGTATAGGAAATGAAATTCCGAGTGTTCCAGGCTGATCGCGTTCGCTTTTAATTCCAGGTCGCGCCGGAAATGTGCGAGGGAATTTTCAGAGTTCTGTCGGCTATCTTGTGGTTGGGAAATCTTAGTTTCGAGGACGTCGACGGCGAACGGTGCGAGCTAAGTAACGAGGACGTCGAGATCGTCGGGACGGTCGCGCCTCTGCTCGGCCTCCAGGTCGAGGATCTGACGAAAGTGGTGCTGATCAGACAGATAAACGTGCGCGGCAACATCACCGAGATACCGTTGAAGGTGCAGGAAGCCCGTGAAAATCGTCACGCGATGGCGAAGGCATTGTACTCGCGTACGTTCGCCTGGCTGATCAACCACATAAACAACTGCACGAATCCCGGCCAGGACAGCTCGCGGTTTCTCGGTGTCCTCGATATATTCGGGTTCGAGAATTTCGCCGTGAACAGCTTCGAGCAGCTGTGCATCAATTACACGAACGAGAAGCTTCACAAGTTTTTCAATCACTACGTGTTCGCGTTGGAACAGGAGCTGGTAAGTCCTTGCCCGTGCACGCTCCCTGTTGGCTAATTTCCTTGAAACGTGCAACTGGTGGAGGGTGGTTTGACGAGTGAATAAAGTACAAGACAGTTTGACCTTAATGAAAATATAGCAACTGATGAGTATAACGATTGTGTACCTTTACATTTTCTTAAAAGTATTAAAAGTATATTCTTAAAGCAAAGCTTATTCTGTATAATCACTTCAATTCCTTTAGAGGAATATAAACGTATTCTGTATCTTGGAGGAATAATACACATAGTCTCCTTGAACCTACTCTGTTAATTGACATCTATTTAGATGTATTTGTTTATCGAATAAGAATTTTGTATAAAGGAATATTATTCACTGTACTTGAACCGCAAACCAAAAGATTCCAGAAAACGGTGTTTACCCCTCGATACCCCAAGCCCGCAATTACCCTAACGTGTGCCGTTTCGAATTTCAGTACCGGCAGGAGGAGATCCAATACTCCCATATCACCTTCACGGACAACACCATGTGCCTGGAATTAATCGAGAAACCTCCTCGATGCGTTCTTAAGTTACTGACCGAGCAGTGCCATATGCCGAAAGGCTCGGACCTAGCCTACTTGACGAATTTGCACGCCGAATTCGAGAATCATCCGTGTTACGTGAAGGGTGACGATCGTCGTAAATGGGAGAAGGAGTTTGGCGTGAAGCATTACGCGGGTTGCGTGACGTACACGGTGGAGGGTTTTGTGGACAAGAACCGGGACGTGCAGCAGGACGTGTTTTTCGACCTGATGTCGAGAAGCACCAACGAGTTTGTGCAAGAAATCACCGTCTACCAAGACTTGTTGGGTTGCACGGTGGCCAGAGCGAGTGGAAACGCGACGACCATGTCTCGTGGGACGTCCAAAGGCAAGCCTACCCTTTGCGATTCGTTCAGGCATCAACTGCAAGCTCTGGTCGATGTTCTTCAAGCGACCACACCTTGGTACGCGAGATGCATCAAGCCCAATATGCAAAAGGTGGCGAATCACTATGACGAGAAGCTGGTTCTCGATCAGCTGAAGTATCTGGGCATGCTGGACATCATTCGGATAAGGAAGGAGGGTTTTCCTATACATATGGCGTTCCTCGACTTTGTCGCGAGATACAGGTGTCTCGACAGGGGATCCATGCCTCGGACCGACAACGAGAAGGATGCTGTTAGACAGTTGATCAGCAGCCAAGGTATTCCGGAGACAGAGTGGCAAATCGGAAAGACGAAGGTGTTCTTGAGAAGCTACGTGCACGAGCCTTTGGAGGACTCCAGGAACCAGATGGTCACCAGTAACGCGATAATGATACAGAAGATTTGGAGAGGTTATGTTGTACGGAAAGGTACACGTAATTCTGTTGTATACCTTGTTGTTGCCTCACCTTTGTCCCGTACCCGAGAGTTTTCGACTCAATTTCGTCTTTTGCACAGAGTACAAGCGTGTCAGGGACGCTGCGCTGAAGGTGCAACACGCTTATCGAGGCTGGAAGCTGAGAATAATGTTCATCCGGAAACGGAGAGCGGCTATTGTTATTCAGAGTCATTTGCGCGGTGTTTTCGCTCGAGAAGTGGCAACAGCTCTGAGGGAAATGAGGCGAGTGGACGAGGAAATGAGGAAGAGGGAGAGATTGGAAGAGGAGAGAAGACTAATGGAGGACAAGAAGGCATTAGAGGAGAGCCAAAGGTACAGAGAGTTAATCCGCGTTTTATGGTACACAGAGTGCTAGGGAAGTTTCCTCGTGTACTGGTATTAACGGGACAATATATAGTATAGTGTATGGAACGTTTGTGAACTGACAGAAGATGGACTTTAGTAATGTGTAATAAATAAACATTACACGACGAAACTTTGCTAGCACCGTAAGTTCTGTACACCAATTTCAGTGTGCGAAGTACAGTGACGTTCACATGGGATAATGGTAGTTTTGTGGGTTAATATTCCATTTGTGTCCCTTGTAGCGCACAGTACAATGGTATTGTCGGGATGGAGCCTGGGTAAGTTCGTCAATAGTTCGAAAAGACGAATTTAAAAGCCCCCCCTCCCCTGCCGCATGATGAGCTCTGCAATGAGTGATTGCTCTTAACATACATACCAGAGCTTAATATCCAACACATGCACATTAGCACGCGTCACGCATTTCCCTGACTAATCTGTGCGCTTGAAATACTAAAACAGTTGCTACGGTGATTAAGTTCCGTGTCACAACATACGTTGTTCAATCTTACAGAAAGGCGCAAGAAGAAATCGCCGCGTTGTCGCAGATGGCAGAGCAGATGAACTCGAAGATGGCCGCCTCGGACTTACAGTCGGTGGATCTGGACAATCTGTTCTCCTTCCTCTCCGATGTACAGTCAACGAAAGGTAATCAGATCATCGAGGAGATCGGTGAACAAATGGACGAATTGGTGGAAGACCTCGACGTGGAACTGGAAACTGTAATACAGCTAGAATTAGAGATGAACTCCAAAGCAGAGTCCCTGGCGAGTAGCCCGAATGGCCAGGATGCTCCTTCACCTCTCCTACAACAGTCGCAGAGGATAACCTGCGGAAACACTAGCAAACTTGGCCAGCCGAGTCTTCCAGAACCGACTGAACCTCCTCCGCCTCCACCACCCCCTGCTCCACCTCTGGCCATGAACGGAGATTCGACCATTGACAATGGGGAGCCAATTTATGAGTCCGTTCTGCCACGCGATGACAACAGTCCTAGTAGTCCCATTGTTGTGAACGGAAACTCTGGACCATTGGTGAACGGTGACACCTGTGGATCACCTCCGCCGGTACCAAACAACAAGGTCATGAAGGAACAAATCGCTGGCAGTCCACCCTCTACACCAGAATCCAGAAACTCGAATAGTCATCACTTGCATCATAACCATCATCAACCAGTGCCTCAGCAACAACAAAATGGTCACGATCAACCGCCACAGCAGACGCAACCGTCTCAACAGCCGCCCATCGAGCGGGAACAGAGACGTAAATGCAGAGTGGAGCGGAAGCTTCAGGAACTGGAGGACAAAAAGGAGCCCGACAACGAGGTCACGTATCATGACATCGTCGAATTCGCGCAGAATTACTTCAACAGCCACGAGAGATCCCCCGAAGGAACGATAATAGCCACGCTCACCAGAAAATCACGCGGTAAGAGCGTGGAATTCATTCCAAAGTATGAGATGGTCACATACTATAAGGGATCCACTATACCCAATTCCCACATTCACATGTACGATCCCGATAACGTTAACGTGGCCTGCTCGGTCTTCAGGGTAAGCCATTAATTGTTATACACAATACGTTTAGTTTGTATCTATAACAAATTTATTTCAAGTCTCACATTCAAAATCTTCAGGATCTTTGCAAGTACATCAGAGGGGAGATGAAACTGGACCAAGAGATTTCCACCATTCAGAGCATAATCGGTTACGGTATAGAACGTGAAGAATTAAGGGACGAGATTTTCGTCCAGTGCATGCGTCAGGCGACAAACAATCCGAACTCTGAATGGGCAGAGCGTGTCTGGTTACTGCTGTGTCTAGCAATCGTCGCTTTCCAACCCAGTAAACTGCTCTACAAGTATTTCGTTTCTTTCCTGAAGAAGAACTTGGCTCTAGAAGGGAAACTAAGGCAATACGTTCAATGGTGCGTGGATAATTGTAAGAACACAAAAGTCTCGTGTAGACAGCATCCACCGTCAACGGTAGAAATTGCTGCAATGAGGCGACTTGGCACGATAGTGTGCCGGTTCTTCTTTCTGGACGGAAGAACCAAAGCCATTGATGTTCATCCAACCGATACCGCTGCGGATGCGGTTGCGAAGTTAGGTGAAAAATTAGGTTTACGATCCTTGGAAGGTTGGGCGATTTATCAGAGTAGACCCGACGGAGAGGAACACGTGCGGGCTCATGACTATTTGTACGACGTTATAGCGGTTTGGGAAATGTAGGTGTTGTTTCTTATAGAGTTACCATTACAAAATGCATGTAAGTTACTAATTGTTTCCCATTTTTGACTGTCAGGAAACAGTGTAAATTAAATACCGCACAATCAACGTTTTCGACGCTGCGACGCAGCAACAATGCTACACTGGGCAGTGGTGATAATCGATTCGTTTTCAAGCGTCGGCTGTTCCGCAACACACGAGAAATCTCCCAGGATCCTGTGGAAGTGAACATGCTTTACGCCCAGGCTGTTTATAATGTCGTCAAGGTACGCGCGCAGATGGGAGTTATATAAAAAAAAATAGACACTTTATGACCATTGTGGAAACGAATTAGCGTAGCTTATTAGTTCATTATTTTATGACAGTTTGTACATTCAGTCTAAGTAGACTGAGAATTGACTCACACTTTCGTTTTAAACTTTCCAGTGCGACGATTTCCCTGTATCCGAAAAAGTCGCGCTCCAATTGGCCGGCTTACAGGCGCAGGTCGCGCTTGGCGATCCCAAAGACAACGATAGACTGGACTACTATAGCGAGGTGGACAGTTTTTTGCCTTATCGAATAAGTCGTGCTCGCGGCGACGACGTCTGGGTGCCGATAATAGCTCAGGCCCACAGACAATATGGCGCTGGCCGGAAGGAACTTGCGGCCAAAGTGTTGTATCTGTCCTGTGTAATGCAGTATCCGTTATATGGTACAACGATGTTCAACGTGACCTATCGTGGATACTGGTCGTATGGTAACCAACTGATCCTGGGTATTAATTGCGACGGTTTGATGCTGATCAAACCGGACGACAAGTTCGTCTTGTCGGAGTATCGTTACCAAGACGTGGAAAGTATTATGCTGGATCCAAGCGACTGCTTCATCACGCTGTCCCTTCTTCGACACAATCCAGACAGTTCGCACAAGTGTTTCGTGTTCGAGACAGCGCAGAAGAACGAGATCGGTAGTCTCATTGTTAGTTACTGTCCAGCGTTGTCGGGCTGGATCACAGAGAACGAGGTTCCTACTAAGAAGCTCAAGTGTATCACTAATGAGGATCGCATTAGGCTTTATCACAATTTAGTCAATTGTCGGCGAACGCTCGTCGACGCTGAAATCCTGAGAAAACCTCAAGACTCTGGCGGTGGTTTCTTGAGAAACACTCTCAGGAGGCTGTCCAAGCACAGAATCGAGAAACTTAGACAGGAACACGGTAGCGCCACCGATCACGGCGAGACTTACAAGGGATTCCCGTACGCCTATTGGGCATTCAGCAGGCAAACACTACCTCAGAGTCTTTCGAAACTACCCGACCCGGACGAGCAGATATCTCTCACTGTATTCCATTTGATACTGACCTACGCCGGTTTAGGACAGAACGGTGACACTGTTAGAAGGGTGGAGGACGAACACGTGAACCTTATACAAACTGTGATGGAACGTTGTATAAGAAAAGAGAATCTGTTAGGCGAACTGTACTTGCAGTTAATCAAGCAGACCACCGATCACCCAGACCCCAACAGTCGGGTGAATCTCAGGCATTGGGCGTTGCTCTCTTTAGCCTGTTCCGTTATTCTGCCGCCTCAGAAAGTCATACGAAAGTATCTGATCGCACACCTGAAACGGTGTGCCAGCGATTACGTTACCGAAGAAGGCAAGTACGCCCGATTCGCTGAAAAGTGCCTTTACAAAACGCAGGGCACGAGGAGAAGACAGTGGCCGCCGAGCAGGGAGGAGATCATGTGCACCATGAATCGCAGGCTTATTTACGCGAGATTCCATTTCATGGACGGACAATACCATGCTGTGGAGTTCCATCCATCAGCCACAGCCAGGGATGTGATGGAAATTATTAAAACAAAAATTGGTCTCGAAGAAACTGCTCTGGGTAATTTTCCTAAGGAGAATTGTTATTACGTCTCGATTATATCAGGACACCTGAATAAATCACATACGCTTCGATTGTAATTTTTAGGTTATGCCATATACGAGGTCTTAGGACCGACCGAAAGGGCGTTGATACCGGAGGAGAATATCGCGGACGTGATGTCTAAATGGGAACGCTATAGAACAGCGAATGCGCAACAAAACCAGCAAAGAAAACACGCACACCACTTCTTCCTATTTAAGAAACATTTGTTCCTCGATCAGTACATGAATCTTGATGATCCAGTGGAGAAAGAGTTGCTCTATCATCAAGTACTGCACGATTTGCGTGCCGATCGGTTCCCTATCACTGAGAAAGAAGCTGTAAATAATTCTATCTTTTTTCCAATGTTCTGTAGTTTAGTGTAGCGTTGCTGGAGCCTCTGATGTATTTTCAGATGATGCTGTCAGCGTTACAATCTCAGCTGGAACTCGGTGATTGCGAGGACGCCGTATCGGACCATGATTACCGTACTATATCAAATCACTGCCTACCTCCAAGACTGGTGCCAGCCTTGTGCATAGAAGGTGTTCTCCAACACCACCAATCCCTAAGGGGAATGACGCCGCCAGAGGCGAAGAAAGCATTCTTAAACTTAATTCAATCGTGGCCGTTGCATAGGGCCACGGTATTCGACGTGATGCAATCGTTCACCTCGAACTGGCCACGCGTTCTTTGGTTGGCCGTTGATCAACAAGGTCTTCATCTTCTGGAACACCGTTCCAGAAACGCCCTGTGTACCTACGAATATAGCAGTATTCTCAGTTATAGCCCAGCTGTTAGTTGTTTGATGATTATCACTGGTACTGACAAGAAACAGAGCAAAGTCATTTTAACGACATCCCAGGTAAATTAAACATTTCGGTAAAAACAACGATACACGGTATAGTTTGAAAAATTGAATGAAAAAAAAATTTTTCAAAAAACAATCACTCCCGTTCATTCGAATTATTATCAAAGTTGTGTGTGACCCCAGGCAGCTCCTAACCTTAAACTTATTTATAGGCACACCAAATAGCAAATTTGATTCGCGAATACATGGATGTGCTACAGTCGCCGCCGGAAATACCGAAGAGAGAATCTGCCATAGTTCAGCAGATAACTCAGCAACAACTTCAACAACCACCAGCGAATCTTCAAACGGCTGCCGGTGGCCGTAAATCTCGGCCCGCTTCGGTATTACACAGAGGTGCTCCAGTGATACAATCGCAAGCTAGTTAAAAAGTTATTAGGCGTCTCATTAGGTGCAACACTTTCCACCTGGCCTGATACGTGAGTCGTTACCTCAATATGTAATATTGCTACCTTTTAACTCGTATTCATTTCCATACAGTTACATTCTACTCGATTGTTACTAGTCCCATATTTACTTTACTGTATTGAATATCCTATATTCTACGTTTCGTATTCTTTGTAGTCATATTTCCTATAGTGAAATTCCGTATCAGGCCGCGGCGAGGCAAGGGTGTGTGTTATTAATGCTTTTACCGGCAAAAGGCCTATCAAGCAGCGAGGCAGTAATCGTCGCGACGAGACAGCGTTAGCTTAGAAAACACTTCTTTCTTCCAGTATTTATTCAATTAGCTTAGGCTCGAGGAAACCGTCGGAATGACAAATACCTAACTGCTGCAGCCGCGGAGAGTAGATTAGCGAATGAACCGACCGATAAAATAACTGCCATTTTACAATTTTAAACCGTTGATAAACTGTTGAAAGTTTTCTATTACCATTTTTCTCCGTGAACGTCGTTGCCTTTTCTTTTTTTTTTAAACGAGCGATCGTCTCAATGGTTTTTATACGATTTTTGTAGGTGTACATGCGGCAACCTTGAAAACGCAATAATCGCTGAATTAATCGATAAATGTTTTTAATACTTACTGACCGTAACGGTGTCAAAAAACACTCCGTCATATCATTTCGTATCGTTCGATGGAAGGGTGATTATGGAATTTTGTTTAAACAAGTACATACGTGCAAGACACTTGTTGGGGCATCCTGAATACCAAAAACGACCAATTTATTCATTCTAATCTTCATTGATTCTGCTTCCCTCGTTAATCACTCTGTTCGACGATACTACATGTGTAACGATATACAAAAAGAGGTTTGAACGACAAAAGGTGTAACCATCCTGAAGTCGACGTTAACGTCTTGAAAATATTAAACTCGCGCAAAATTTACATACCTACGATTATACATGCTATCATTATATTTAGACACAATTATTCCAACGTATAACAAGCGATAATATAATCAACTAACTAGTATTTCGAGAAGAAAAAAAAAATCTTTCAATCACGTTTTAAATGGAAGTCGAACGATAATCCGGTGTTCGTTTATCCAGACAATCCTTAACGTCGCTTTTTCTCGTAAGACATACATATATGAACTGTGGAATTATCGTTTAAGAAAATGACGCGATCGCATCGATCGAAAATGCCACGAAATTGCGTCCAGTGAAATTGTTCTTTCTTTCGTTTTCTTCTTAAATTCAAGAGCCTCGAATTGCTCGATGTCTTTGTATGTACATATTTTTAAACGATAGTGAATAGGTTTCAGGAGCAGAATTCTCCAGTGTTCAATACGATTCCATTTCCATCGTAAATTAGATATATAAACTTCACTCGGAGTACAGGTACAATACTACTATCCACACGTATTTTTAACCCTTTCAACGCAATCTTTCGTATTCGTAGAGCGATACTAGTTGTAAAGGATAATGCAAGCTATCTCAGAATCTATTTACAGATCACCACGTAGAACCACCGCTAGTTTCCACTAATTACACACACATATATTATTACCATTTTGACGATGAATAACGGCGACTGCTCAGAAACGTGTTACGACATTCAATAGCTGAAAGATAACTAATTTTTTGAAGTACACTCGGACATTGTCCGATTTTAAAGACTTTTTACGGGACACAGTCGGGAAAGGGTTAACATAAGGTTAAATAAGCAAAGTCCCTCTAAGAATCTTTCGTCGAACACTGGAGCTTATCGAATCCTAAGTTCATTCGGACCAAGATTTCGTCTCGATGACTTTCAAAGCCCGTTGCTGGAATTCTTGTTGAACTGAAAATGGACCAATGAGAGTCCCTATCCTGTGACCAACCTAAATCATCGTTGCCGTGTATATGTAACTTCCATTTTCAATCCGAATGAAAACAGTTCACTGCCAATGTCCTGTCGGACAAAAAAACATTGTCACACACGTGTGCATTTAACTCTCTGTAATCTAACTTCGATTCAGATATGGACAATACCGTTACACACAGACGATAAACTGAAAGAAAGAATTTGTTGCAAGTGTTTTTCTTATAACGAAAGTAATTTTATTAATACGGAAACGGTGGTAGGCTTAAAAAATGTTTATGTATAGGAAACGTAGCCTCAAAGTTACAAGGCATCATAAGGGTTTAAGGATCAGTTAAATTGAACCAGAATCAAGGGATTCGTCGTGACGAAACAGAGACGTTTATGTGCCCTTTTTTAATCCGTATTTATTCCGATTTCCTTTCCGGGAGTTTGGCTAAGATTCGACGAGTGCAGAGACAGACTGTGATCCGCTTTGGGTGTCCTTAGTCTTCGGAAACTGTTTAACGAGTGAGATTTCGTGTTAACTAATTAGAGAGAGAGAAAGAGAAAAGTGACGAAGATGTGGGGAACGCGTGTTTGTGCGAAAGTGAGAATGATTGAGCGAACGATTGCGTGGGAGAGGCTAAGTAAGAATCTCGAATGCGATATGCGACAGTGTGCATGATACTTAAGGATGGGGAGAAAAAAGGGGGATGATATGGCGAACCCCCGTAAGTGTAGCTTAAGCAAAATAAATTATTGGTTGACGATGTTATATTGAAATATTTAAGAGCGATGAACATTGTATATACGTATATATATAAATAGACACGCATAGAACAGATACGCACACACGGTGAAGTCAGACCCAAAGCAAACAACACACATACATACATACATACACACACACGCACACACACACACACACGACTGTTGTAAACTCGGAGAAACACGTACAAAGAGAGACATGGAAAGTTACACGCCTACATGTGACGAGAATATACATACTATTATATAAATATGAATATAAATATAGATTATTAATATACTCGAGCTATGTATAAGGATACAATAAATGAAAGCGAAGCTTTAATATTGCAATGAAGAGGGACTTGCTTTTGAAAGTAAAATTTTGATTTTCTTTTTGGAGGAAAGCATATAATTTTGCAAAAACATTACAACAATGTTAATAAGTAACAAATCATTTTTATTTAAAATATTTTTCTCTACGACTGAATAGTTTACAAAACACATTCGTAATGTGTAACATTCTTACGCATTCATACAATCATTCTTGGGCTATCGGTTCTGTCACGTCACGTCTGTTCGTAATAATAATTCTTCAAACATTCTATATTGAACTCGATCATTTCCGATTCTTTCTTCGACCAAAGCATCAACGTTTCGAAAGCCCTGCTAATTTTCTCCTCGTTAATTTCCGCATTCGAGAAAGACATTACTTTACTATTTCTTGAATTGCTTTCAGTGGTCGGCCTGCCCGAGAGGAACTCTACGGCCTCGCTCCTCGAATCCTGTTCCCCGCTGTTGGTTGAGTCCACGGTCACGTGTTGGTTAAACTGAAAAAAATCATCCAACTTTTCCATCTTCGTCGGGTCAGGAACACCTTTGACGAGAATTCTCCACGCGTCTGTTATATCAGAAACACTAATCTCAGACCAGGCCTCGGCTATCAAATTAATACAGTCCCTGAGATCGTAATTGGCACAGAAGTCCTCGGACTGCTCACTAAAATTCGTCACGCGATTCGACATCTTGTAGTGATACGACTCTCTCGTCTTCGAGATGAGTGTGTCTATGGGCTGAATCAGATGACCGGTATTGGGAGGCAACAACACCATCTCGAATCTCTCGTCGTTCTTGAACTGTTCGAGTATCTCGGCGGTGTAGCCCCTGGAATTGTCCAGAACTAACATAACTTTACCGCATGTCCCGTGTTGTAACTGGTACCTCATCACGTCCGGTTTGAAGTGATTCTCATACCAATCGGTGAACACATTACGATCCATAGCGGCGTGCTCGTGGGCCTTATAGATCACGGGCAGCTTGTGCTTCCCATTTTTCAAGACTCTCGGTGTCACGTATCGGTGTATAAACAACGGCGCATGCTTGTGACTGCCAGTCGCGTTCGTACAAAAACCTACCGTCACTCTGTCCTTGTTCGGTTTCCCGACTTTAACCAGTCGGTCGTCCCATTGCACTTTTGTCTTCAGAGGAAGCGCCTTCCACACGAGACCAGTCTCGTTCATATTGTAAATATTCTCGTACTCGACACCCTCCTCTTCTATCTGACGCGTGAACCTCTCCGCGAATTCTCGCGCGGCAACCGTGTTGAGGTCTATTTTCTGATTCCACGAATGCGAACGTATACGATGACGGTTCTTGAAACCCCAGAGCCAACCTCTGCTCGCCTTGAAATCGACAGAACCGCCGAGCTCTTTGTTCAGTTCGACCGCTTTCTCTGTCATTATCGTGTCTGTCACCGACTCGCGACGCGATTTCCGTTCTAGAATCCATGCGTACAGCCGGCTGTCCAGCTCCTGGTGCACCGGTTTACGGAGATTCCGTCGCTTGGTACGCCCGGATCCTTCCTCAAGAAACTGGGTGACCAGATCCGCTGTTCGACGGATACGTCGAACGGTCGTCGGATGAATGTCGAATTCCGCGGCCAGTCTTCTGGTGGACACTCCGCTTTCTAGGTGCTGAGCTATTTCGAATCGTTGCTCCAAGGAGAGCATCGGCCTCCTCATTCTGCTCGACTCTGGCCGCCCGTCACTGGTTGTCATGGTTCTGTACCCCTGAAATAGGACGAAAGCCTTATTATACACATTCGTAAATTTCCGAGTAACGACTCGAAGATTACGTATTAATATACGTGATAATTCTGTTAATAAAACTCTTACGAAGATACAGTAATAAATAGAACAACTGTTGATGTTCTTTAGTGAGTGAACTGTGATGGGGTCCCTGCTTCTTACGACACTCACCGTTAGTACCGAAAACAGAGCTATTACGAGGGCATTGCTATATTATAAAATCTCAACAGAATATGACAGATTTCTTCAAAACTGGATACTCATTTTTATACCATTTCGGTAACGAACCCCTGAAGGTTTCACAAATGTCAAGAAAGTGCTTCTAACTCGTTCTTAACAGTTTAGCGTGTAAACCATAACCTGCGAAACCAAGCAAAACTAAACGCCTAAACCAGCCTAAACGTAACAATGTAGCATCGTGAGCATGATGGTGACACTTGTGAACTACAGACACAAAGTACGTCTACACAGCTGATTGTTTATGATGTTCACTGTATTCGTTTGTTTGGTTGCATTAATTCCTCCGTTGCATCTATAGATACTAAATATTTTTAATCTAATAAAGTACAACTGCTTTTGTGAAGTAATATTGTTCCAGTGTTCATTGAACCCTGGAAATCCGAGAATCACAAACGAAATTGGAGCTCTCTCTTAAGCCGTCATATTCAATGGTACATAACGTAGTCTTCTGCAGGGTTAAATCGATACCACCAAGGTATCGATACTTTTACTCGTAACTACTTTTGTATGAAGCTATCAATACTTACTCGGTATCGAAACAAAAGTATCGATACCTATTTGTATTGAATTATAGTTTCCTAACCTTGATACCCAACTCACAAGTTGTTTCTGCGTTGAGAGACAATAAAATACAATAAAATACAATAAAAACAAATTTATCTATTTATTTAAATATTTAATATAAAATTTAAAATATATAAACATAAACATATGTATAAATTCCAAACAATATCCGTCATATAAGATATACACGATAAATAAATATGTATGTCGGGACTTGATTGTAGTTTTGCGCGTTAATTTTGAATATTGAAGTTTGTTAATAATTTATTGATTATTTCAGATGTTCAGTTTTGATGTTTAATTTATCGATCCTAAGTTTTGTAAATAATTTTATTGATAAATTTATCGTTGAGTTCAGCCGTGTGTACTTTTATTTATAAATCGTTGAAATTCTAATTGTACATCATACATCTCACACACACGGGGTATTTTCAGCATGCTTCGGGGGCTCCGTGACCCCACATTCTCAGCCCACGTGATCAAAGGCGCCTCCACCGGGGCCTCCGTGCAGCGTCTATGGCGCCTTCACCGGGGCTCCGTGACCCCACGCTCTCACCGTGCAGGGTCTATGGCGCCTCCACCGGGGGCTCCGCGACCCCACGGTGTCTCCCCACGTAATCAATGGCGCCTCCACCGGGGCCTCCGTGCAGGGTCTATAGCGCCTCCACCGGGGGCTCCGTGACCCCACGCTCTCACCGTGCAGGGTCTATGGCGCCTCCACCGGGGGCTCCGTGAACTCACGTTCTCACTAGAGATGATGTGAACTGCTACTTGTGAATCACTCGTGATTCGATCACGTTCGTTCTCAATCACGGTAATTTTTCACAGTGATTCGTGATTTCTCGTGATCGTTTCTGTTTGGTGGAGAAACCTAACAGTTCTTTACACGCGACACATAATCTGTATATTTTATATTTTATATTAACGACATCAAAACAAAAATTCGAGTTATATCGTATAAAGTGAAAGAATAATTAGAAACAATGAAGAATAATGAATAAATTAATGATTATAAATTATAATCTACATGTTACCTAGCAAATCATTCGTTTAGAATTTCTTGTTTTTTCTACTGATTTTTTCAAACACAGTAATGTAATTCATCGTAAAATCATATTGAATACGTTTTTCTGTTTAAAGATTAATGACTTACGATTGCAGTGAGCAAATTCACTCAAGATAAAAAAATCGTAATCACGGTCGTGAATGAAGTTAAATCACGATCGTGATCGTGATTCGGCGATCACTGTGATAAATCACCGTTAGTGATTTTGCACGCCATCTCTAGTTATTACACGTAAATTAATAGTTTGACCGATCACGAATTTAATTGTTATCGTAATTCATTGTATGTACTTTTCGAATGACGATTCAGTACACAAAGGTATACAATAAACTAATAAACAATCTGCCCCCCCCCCATAAAATATTATTTTTTTTATAAGTCAAATATTTATATAGATGATTTATATTTTTTGTAGTTTTTATACTCTCAATGTCAGATCTTATTCATGCTTGGGAATTAGTAACAAATTTGATTCTTATATTGGTAGAATGATGGTTATGCTGCCAACGCAATTAGAATGTTTACAAATATAACCTTAATGTTAGTGCTTCATTTAATTGTGCAATAAAAAGTACACATTGATTCCGTGATTCATGAAATATATTTAAAAGTAATATTTTTTAAATCATCATATTAGGATTATAGTCAAATTTAATTAGCATCAACGATCGTTGTATCTGAAATGCAAAGGAAACGTTTAAAATACAAGTCGGTTTTGCATGTATAAATAATATTCCGTTTTATAGTGCATTTTTCAGTTTTAAGACTGACGCTCAGTATTTATTAATATTTCTTGTGTACATTGTTTATACATGGTTGAAGAACGAACTGAAACATATTGAACAATTGAGGAGGTTACCTGTTTAAGTCACAAATATAACATTCTTCGATAAAATGGATGTAACGGATAACATAAATACGGAGGTAGCTCTTATTTATTATACTTTTTAAGTTAACTATGTCGGTAAAATATTTTTGTAATTTAGTTTCTGAATATGGGTATATCAGTATTAATGTATATAATGTTTATGCTCCTTAGTTTCCATTTGAATTGCCACCAATTTGGCCTGATATAAAGACTGAATTAAGGGAATATATTGTGTGTTTGGATAATCTCCCAATATATAAACTTGATAATGCACAATGTTATTGGCCAAGGAAACCCAATATTTTGTCCCTCTTGGACTTTGACCTAGCACCACTTGGAACTACTTTAAAATTTGACCGTGATCCTATCAATGGAAAACTTGGGGAAATACACGAGGTTCCTTTACAATCAGTTGGAAAAACAGCAAGAAACTCCATGTCTATGAATCGTGCACCAGGGCCTGCTATGGAAAGTCTCAGAGGTAATAACTATAGAAGATAATCTGTTACAAAATATAATCAACTTCTAGCAAATTAAAGTAATTCATTGAGTTGAATAAAGAAATTTTGTACAGGTAATACTAGCAATATTCCATTCTTTCCTGGTGGATTTGATGAACCTGAAATGGTAGATGATCCTTCAATGGAAGAGATTGACTTTGAAAATAATTTAAGGACCTTAGCAAAAGGGTTTAGTGCCGGTGTGGAATTCAAAAGTGATAATTGCACTCCAAAAGACACAGCTACTCAAGAGGAGCAAGTTTTAGAATCAAGAAAAAATGAAGTAGAAAAGATAGCAGATAAGATTAATTTAATGTCTATTGTACATGAAGAGCGAAATGTTCTAGGCTTATGGTTACCTGAATCGAAGGAACCAAAGGAGAAGGAGACTAAGAAGCCTTCAGATGTGCAGGAACCATCATTTGATGATATTGTTCCATTAATAGACGAATCGAATGTTCCCATTTTGAAAATCTCAGAGAAACCCCAGACGACTACAAAGACACAATGGGCAGAACAGCTAGATGTGTCTGTTCCTATAGCTGATTTCGAAAAACGTATACCTGAACCAGCAATGAGTTTTCCATACGAATTGGACACCTTTCAAAAACAAGCGATTCTGAAGTTAGAAGAAAATTGCAATGTATTTGTCGCCGCTCATACGTCGGCTGGCAAGACGACAGTAGCGGAATATGCGATTGCTTTAAGTCAGAAACACATGACAAGGTACATTCAACAATCTTAACGGTTTATACTTAAACGGCACTAATTGTATCGATTATAATCGTCTTTCAGGGTTATTTATACATCTCCTATTAAAGCACTGTCGAACCAGAAATACAGAGATTTTAAAAGAAAATTCGATAGTGTTGGTTTGTTAACAGGAGAGTTACAGATTAATTCGAATGCTTCTTGTCTCATTATGACCACCGAAATTTTACAATCAATGTTGTATTGCGCATCTGAAGTTTTAAGAGATTTAGAATTTGTTATATTTGACGAGGTGCACTATATTAATAATGACGATGTGAGTGAAGCGTCGGTACAAGTTTCGTTTGTTTACGATTGAAAGTTCGTTGTCTCATTGGTTTCTCGTTTCAGCGTGGTCATGTTTGGGAAGAAAGCGTCATTCTTTTACCAAAAACGGTTAATATAGTAATGTTGTCTGCAACTGTACCAAATCCATTAGTATTCGCCGATTGGGTTGGTCGTACGAAGAAAAAGAAGACGTATGTGATAAGCACATTAAAGAGACCAGTACCACTTCAGCATTATCTATATACCGGAACCGATGGTAAAACTAGGAACGACAAATTTTTGGTGTTGGACGAAAGTGGTCAATTTTTGCTAGATGGGTAATAATTGCTGCCTTTCATTTTCAATTATGTACGCTGTCACGAAACATGTATACATACTTCTCGTACACACACACACACAGGTGGTTCAAGGCATCGAATGCAAAAGATCCAAAAAATGGTAAAGATATGAAAAAACCAATGAATCGTCGAATGACTCCAAAGCAGGAACAGGTCTTGTGGAACGCTTTTATAGGTCATCTCAAGAGCAAAGTACAATCGAATTGTATTCATTTAACGATTAATTATAATGTATTCGTAACCCTCAGCTGAATTTTCGTGTTACAGAATATGTTGCCAGTGGTGGTCTTCATGTTGTCACGGAAACGTTGCGACATGAGCGCTATTTTGCTGAGAAACGTTGACCTTACAACCGAAAGTGAAAAGTATACTATTAGGACGTTTTTTCAAAACAATATCAAGCATTTGAAGGGTAGCGATAGGCAATTACCACAAGTTCTGATGATGCAGGAACTGTTGCAAAATGGTATTGGCATTCACCACAGTGGTATACTACCAATTTTGAAGGAAATAGTGGAAATGTTATTTCAAAGTGGAATTGTAAAGGTATTTTTGCACTTTAAGATTAATAATGAACAAACTATCAAATATAAAAATGTGTTCTATTTAGAACAATTAACAATTGCCCTATACCGTTTCATCATAGTTTGCCCTGTACCGTTTTTTTGTAAATTCTATTGCAGTTATTGTTTGCAACAGAAACGTTCGCAATGGGTGTAAATATGCCAGCGCGTACGGTGGTTTTCGATTCCGTTACAAAGTTCGACGGCAGCACTTTCCGGATACTTCATCCTACCGAGTACATACAAATGGCTGGACGTGCTGGTCGTAGAGGTCACGACACGGCAGGAATGGTTATAGTCCTGTGTAGAACAGCGGTGCCACATTTTAAGGAGTTGACCACTATGATGTGTGGCCAAGCCCAAAACTTAGAATCTAAATTCAAAGTGACATATTCGATGGTGTTAAATCTGAGACGAGTCAACGAGTCAGTGTCGGTAGAAGCAATGATGCGTAGATCCTTCAAAGAATCCCCATTGGCTGTGAAGCTGAATAGTTACAAGGACGAGTTGCAAAAAGTGGAAGATGAAATGACGAAGTTACCGCCTTTGACCGAATTACAGAAGAAGCTCACCGACTTCTATAAGGTTGCCATTGATTATTTAGAGTATCTAAAGTATTTGAAACCGTTGGTATATGATACACAGAAGGATGCAGTGAAGAAACTAGTACCTGGCAGGGTTTTGCTTATATCATTCGAAAATCATTACAATAAATTAGGTTTACTTCTGAGTACCGTTCATAGTAAAAGTATTAGGCAGTATAGGATATTAGTCCTTACAAATTTGGAAGCATCGAAATCTTCGGAAGACAAGCCATCGGAAGTTCTGAAACACAAGAATCCACAGTGGTATGATATTGTCGCTTTAACCAAGAAGGAATTGTTTGTGCCGGTTGGAGTTCCATCCGGTGAAGTGTTGACTATACCTGCATGGAATATATTAGAGATAACTAGTCGTCAGATTAAGGTGGATTATAATTTGGTCTTGTCGAATTGGGAGAAGAGGCAAATCCCAAGATTCAGGTGAGAAAGATTAATCCCGGAATGGTACACGTAGGACATTTGTATCCTCGTCATTTCTATATTTTCTAATTTCTCCGAAGTTACAAGCCAGACAGAAGCTTCCATTCTAAAAACATTGCTTAATACTTCATTTTGTAATTTTAAATGATTTTTAGGGATGAACCACCTAGTCCAACTTACCAAGCGGCTATGCAAGAATTAATGACGCTATCCCTAAATGCTACTCGCGATCCTTCTATTTTACAACCGTATACAGAAATGTCATTGAATTACGACGCAGACGTGAAAATAAAACACTTGCTTCAGTTAAAGAAAACCGTTTATGATATGAAATGCACGGAAATCTCAAATTTTGAAGAACAATTTGAGATTGTATTTGAACGAAGCGAATTAGAAAGTAAAAGAAAAAAACTTCAACTGAAGCTCAGTGATGAAGGTTTGAGCCTTTATCCTGAGTACACAAATGCTGTTAATCTTCTGAAAGAATTACGATACATAGACAACGATGAAAGAGGTATTCTACAATGTCTCAGTATAAAGCTTATTAATACAGAGAGGTAATTAATACGTAACTTTTGAAAAATTATTTTCAGTTGCATTGAAAGGTCGAGTTGCCTTGCAAATGGGAAATAACGAATTACTAATCACGGAACTGATTCTTAAGAATGTGTTAACAGTACTTCAGCCATCTGAAATAGCAGCACTGTTGTCGACTTTAGTATTTCAACAACGAACGAATGTTGAGCCTAATCTTCCACCAGAATTGAAATGGGTATGATTACTTAAGATAGTATCTAAGTTAACATTTATATTTATATATGCGTCATTCTTTTCAATTCAGGGTTTCGAGAAAATAAAACAGATATATGCAGAATTGGAAGCTTTAGAGGAGCACTATCAATTATCGACGCTACAACAGTTGAACGTTGGCTTGGTGGAAGTGGTTTACGATTGGGCGCAAGCTAAGTCATTCGCTGAAATAATGGAAAAAACGGACGTACAAGAGGGAATCATAGTGCGATGTATTCAACAATTAAGTGAAACATTAAGGGATGTAAAAAATGCTGCTGTAACTATCGGTGATCCTGTTCTAAAGGAAAAGATGGAGGAAGCTTCGACAGCTATTAAGAGGGATATTGTTTTTACCGCGTCGTTGTATACGCAAGATTAAGCATGGGACAAACTCTATGTGCAATAATTTATTTCTACGTGTAAATTCTCCGAACAATTTTGAACTTCGATCGACGAGAGATGTGTATATCTTTATAACTAGGTTTCATCGGTTATGAAACATGCATTGTTAAAGAACGAAAAACCATACGATATCATTTCCTTTTTACTACGAATGTCAAGTACTGAGATTTAATTTTATCTTGTAAATTGTAATCCGTTGTGTACAGATACGCAATGAACGTTGAAACATACGGAATAAGATGGCTATTAATATGGAACAACTGTTTTAATTTACAATGCTGGGTGGTACAAAATATTATCCTAAAAATGTATTCTCCGATATTATAGTGCACGCTGATCGGTATTGTTTAGGTTCCCTTGGCCTTTATTTGTCTCAGAAATGCAAGTCCATTGCCCTTCTGTGTTTTCGCGCCAAAGGGATACTTTATTATCTCCGCCACTAACTGCTAGAATACCTCCAGTTAACGACCAGCTGACGTTCCAAATAACGTCATCAAAGACATTCAGGATAGTTGGTGTCCAACTGGAATAATCGTTCGATGTCCATACGATTACACGACGATCTTGTGAACAAGAAGCCAGGGCAGCCTTTGAAGGTCCAACAGCAGGTGCCCATGCTACGTCTCTTACCTACATTTAAATATTAATACAAAGAATTTGTTTATTACAGTAGAATGGTAAAGTTTATGGTGCATGACTTAAAACACAACAAAAATTTTACCCAATCACTATGTGCTTCTAGCTTATCTTCTTCAATCCACCTGTCACCTTCTTCTTTCCAAATTTTGACTAAATTATCGCATCCTCCTGTAGCTAATCTTTTTACAGGTCCATTCCTTTGAGTTCCAGTTGCATCAAAACTGGGTTCAATAGCAGGACACCAACTCACAGCATTGCATCCAATGGTATGAGCATTTGTAATTTTTTGAGTATCCCATGTATCGCCATTATTAGTAAGAATAGACAATGAACCATCAGAACTACCGCATGCAAGGATCAGTCCAAACTCGTGTGATGCCCAAGCTACTGAGTTAACAGAGGAATCATGACCACTATGTTCAAAAATCTTAGTCCATTCTCCCAGCTCCTTCCAAATAATTACTTTCCTGTTGCGACAGATAACGAAGGATAACTTCAAAATGAAATAGAAAATCTTTACTGTATTGTAGTTCGTAAAAACGTAAAGATATCGACGGGTATCGATAAACTAAAAAAAAAAAATAAGTTGTAACATACCGATCGTAACTGCAGGATGCTAAGAGATTTCCAAATTTCGGATGCGCCCAGGCAACTTGCCACACAGGTCCAACGTGACCTTTAAGATCGGCGACTAAACTTTGCGATCCGTTTTTTAGATCAAAAATTTTTACCGAATTGTCACTGGAACAAGTTGCTAACCTCAAACCATAATAATCCATCTCCGCGTCGTGGATCATGTCCTCGTGACCAGTGTCGACTGTATTCAATACAGATACCATTTTTACCGTTTAATCAAATTTCCAAGTATATATTTAACAGAGCATTAACAATGAGCAATAACGGACAATCACTCGTAGATTGTTGAAGAGGTTATGTTCTCCAGTGTCTGTCACTTACGTGGAAGCATGTGCGCAATGAAAGCAAGCGCACAGCAATTTTGCGCAGACCGCGCGTATAATTAGTGTCATTACGTGTACTTGAAAAAGTCTTTGGTGCTTGAGTCGTAAATTAAGAATACGTTAATTTCAACTATAAAACCATAAATTCTTCTTAACATATTACCAAAGGTAACAAAGACTAACAATAATAGAAGAAATTTCCTTACAAGGGAAGTACAGGTACTCCTTACAATTACATCATTTGGGTATATAATCTTTTGATGTTCAAGTGTGTTCTTAGTTTTAATCGACGAACATCGGCGAGTTGTTCGTAAGACAGCTTCCGAACTGTAACGAGCGGTAATACTTCTACATTATTTTCCAAGTCGTTGAACACTGCTACATATTGTCTATCGTACCAAAAGTATCAACTGTTGCACGGAATACCGAAGTGTGCTGTTAAAGGGGCAACTTAATACTGTTTTAACGTAAATAGATTAACCACTGCCACAGACAAAGCACATGTTAGGATAGACATTGTATTCAATGTACATGTACGTATTTTCGCATCTCGATTTTCTGGGGTTCTAGAGCCCCCGTTACCATTTTCGTGTCACGCACCAACGTAACCGATACAGCACGAATTCTGGGTATTATTAATACGAATGGAATGTATGCTTCGTTCATATTACGTGTGCCTAATATGATTTGGCGAGAATAAACATATGTGATGTTTTGGTTTAAAAGATGAAGGAATACGAAGTCCTGTAAAATATAAAGTTTATCCTTATACATCTTGTCTGTGGCAAGGTGTTAGATGTAGTTACCTAGATGGTCCGTGCCTAGATGATACGTAATAGATATTCCGTAGTTGCAATAACTTCGTGCGTTTTTTAAATCTGCTCGACTGTGTCGTCGTAGGATTCATGAACAGGGATTCCATAAACTGAGTTCACGTACTATGTCATGACGTGTCTGAATACTTTTTTCAGGTGCTGTACATCTTTTCATTTGATGGTGTCGTCCAAAGACACTGTCACAGCTTTTAAGAGTTACAGAAGAGGGATTATTCCAGGGACCTTGGAAACTTGCCATTCGTTCCTGTTGCAGGTGCGTACCGTATACAATACATTCATGAACTTTGGCGATTCGATAAACGTCCATGCGTAGGTACCGCTATCGCCTGTGTGTTGCACAGTTACACGAATCGTTACGGCGCTCTTTTTTAACGAGAACAGGACGGAACACGGTTGCAGACTCTTATTACATATTGCGTTGCCTGTGTCTCTCAAGATGCTGAAAATATGTAGGCCTCTATCCTTCACGGTTTTTATCGATGGCTCGTGAGAAACTTGTAACTTTGTCCATCTGTATATAATCTACCACGATTAATACAGTGATTTTCCGTTCTCGTAACTGTGTAACGTCCTGCTCGTTCTCTATTCGTGAAACGGCAAGCCATAAAAGATTAAATAGAATGATATAATTTAAGGTCCCTTACAATTTGTATATACACGGTGTCCTTTTTTAAAATAGATTCCTGAAAAATGCTCGAAATCATCGAGACGATCGAGGAACGAACGGGATAAATATCGAAGCCACGAAAAAAAGAACATTGTACAGATGTGACGTCATCGCGTTAATACTCATCATCCATGAAAACAGAAATTCTTGCATGGACACTGGAAGTCTAACGACAGCCGAAAACGATAGTCCATTGAACCGACTCAAAAAGGGGGTACAATCTTTCAATTTTATTTTCAAAAATTCTCGAGTGTTTTTTTTCTTGGCCACCCTGTATCGTTCTCGGCTCATTCCCCCTTCCAAAGACTCCTGATTAGCTGTGCTCGGCTGCACGAGATAGATAGAGAGAGAAGCGACTCGTTCGTACGGACGGAAATCCAGGGCGAAGGTTCCACGGGTTCCGGCTGTGCCGATGCACGGGTACGGGTCGTTGCCGCGTGTACGCGTCAGTATCGCGGCGAGATCCGGGCGAAGGAGTGTACCAGGAAGAATGGAAAGGGGAATATCGGTCACTGGGCCTTTCCTCGCGATGACGGTACTCCGTTTAGCGCCTCGGGGCCACCATCTAGGAATGTCGGAGGAGCACACGACTGAAGTCTCCCTCTCTCCTCTGTGCCCCCTACTGCTTCTCTAAATCGGTAACACTCGTGTCTACGACTTAACCTACACAGCGAGCAACATCGCTGGAACTTTGCGAGATGAGTCCAATCCGCGACAGACTACGCTGATCCGATTAGAACAATATTGGCTGGTTTTAGAAGCAGCATCGCTTTCGAGTACCTACAACTGCTGTCAATCAGTGAATTAACTAAGATTCCCCTACAAGTGTTTCGGAATTCTGCCGTCAAACAGTCACCGATTTGTCGATCATTTAAATTCCAGTTGAATACCTGAGTACATAACACGAATGCATTTTTTAAGCTAGCGGCTTTTTCACGCGGGAATTAATGGTACGATTAATTTCTTTTCCATCCTAAACCGTTCGCCAGCCATCAATCGATCGGGGCTGGTCGGCCGTTTTAATTAAACTTCCGTCTGAAAGTGCAGCAAATTGTGTCCCCGTAATCAACTTTTCATTCGATACACGGACATTGAACACGTTCGTTTCTGCTGTCGAGTGTATTATTCAATGAGGTATCGGTCCATTCTATTATAACGCAGAGGAAAGTTCGTCCGAGACATTTAATAATTACAATTGCATCGGTCCCTTTTATAACAGGCGCGATCGGTGAGGCCATGAAGCGTGCACAACCACGTACAACGTATTCAACCATAGATCTACCAAACCCGTCAAATAAACAGATTGCACATTTAGTACTTTCCGATTACATACTAAAATTGCAACAGTGCTTCGATGACATTTTTCTTGGTTTTTAATTTATATACTATTAATTTTGTTGTACTATACTGTGCTAAATTGTACTATATATTATGTATATTACCATATTCTATCATTTAATTTAGTATACATTGAACACTCATAGTTCTAGTGTAAGGTATAATACATTTACGCGACATGTATAACCGAGGTGTTCCGTTTCGACGTTTCAACGAGACCAACCGAGACAGAGAACGCGTCCCTAAACGGCGCGGCGTTGATGTAAACCAGGCGCGGTTTTACTGCATATTTCCGTGCACTACCGTGTATATACCGTAAAGGTTAGAAACCAGGTCGCTCGGCCTGGCGCCCAATCGAATTCCACGCGTACCAGCCTCGAATCGCATTAATTTTCAGCGTACCCGGCTCAGTATTACATATCGGGATCTTCTTTTTCCATTGAGGTGAAAAATTCGCGATGAATCGAGGAACGGCGGACGTGTGTGCGCGCGCGCACGACGACGAGGAAGATCGCACACGGCCACCGGCTGTCCGTCGATGCAGCAGCCGTCGCAAAACAGTACTTTTTCCTCCGCGTATATCCTATAGGCTACCGCCACGGACGCGTATATACCGTAAAGCTGCAGAGTAGAGAGATACATACATTCCAGAATCGAATTCCGGACGTGTTCGTGCAGGCCGCATGAATTTTTGCCAGGGCTACCGTATACGCTATCATGCAGGCATCTCTTGAATAAAAATGTTGAATAAAAATGGAGGGAGAAAGAGGCGAGTGAAAGAGGGCCGAGATAAAGAGGGCTTTCGCGTTATCTTTTCTTTTTCCTTAACAAGTAGATTACACTTTGAAAATCGACGGGAAAGTCTGCGAGTTGGACAGAACTGGGCCACTTTTTTTAGCCACACTGTATGTATACAGTTATGTGATACTCCAGACGATTCTGCTGTTCTGTGTGAAATGAGTAAACTGTATCGGTCAGAAACATAGGAGGTTAGGTTTACGAACGTATTATTTTCGGGGCAATTACTGAATTTAGATTACTTGTAGGTTAAAATGGATGTTGATGGTGATTAGAAAGAGTAATGTAGACGCTACAAAAAATATTTTGCATGAACGTTTATTTGATTAAATTTTTGTATTATCATTCCGTTCCGAGTAATGTGTACAGGCTTTTGTCGACGTCTCGCGGCAAAGGACGTTGACTGCGACACAGCGTAATTGGCGGATGGTTTCGGGTCATCTGGCCGATCGATGGCCCGTTTCATTTATTATTGAAATGCAAGCGTAACATCATCAGTTTCTACGATTCTTTATACATACAGCCGAGGGGAACGTAACGAGAAACATTTGACCGGAAGTCGTCCATGTTAACGGTAATAGTTTTTTGTTTTTAATTGTCGAACAAACTTGATTTCATTCGAACTTTCCGGTTCATTATTGCGAGACCATATAGAACGTTCAAATGTTTTCAAAGAGCTAACCGTATAAATAAAATTCAAATCGATCAGAAGTAAAAAGAAACTAAAGCCTGCAATAACTCCATTCAATACTTTTCGACCATAGAAAATACCGGATACGTTCCGAAAGTGGGAAATAAACGTTGAAAACTGTTCATATTCCACCCTCGCGTATCAGGCACCAACAGTCATAAAGCAAGCACCAATGAAGGGGAACCCAATAAAGCAGGCGCATAATAATATCGTCCCGTGTAACCTCAAAGGTGATTTTTTTGTTCCAACGGGCCAGATACGGCGGGGATCTCGAGCGTCGAAATTTCGATCGAGTCGAATCGGGAAACAAGGATTGGTCGGATGTGTAACGGCTGGTGACCAGTAAGTACGACCGTTGTGTGTAGTACAGTCGACAGGGGCGGTCGTAGAATTCTACATATACATGTAGAAGGGGGTCATCACACGAGGCCCGCGGCTCCGACGAACGCACAAGCGAAGCCAGGACACAGTGTACGAACGTCATTCGGCGCGGACTGAACAGGCGAAAGGCGCAGCACCGGGTTCCACTACCCACAACCGCGAGAGACTTTGACTCGAGCCCCACCGACTCTCTTTTTCCTCCTGTCGCGACACATTTTAACCGGAACAGACGGCGTGCGCGTGTGCGACTATTAGTATTTACCATAGGACCGTGCGCTCCCGATTCGAACGGAACAGTGCGAGGAACCAAGGCGTTGTGTGACGGAAACTGTTCGCCGGAAGTGCCAGAGGGATTAATTGCACCGAGCGCGTGTCCACGTGTGGATTTATAAGGCATCGAGGTGAGTCCCACTATTTTACATTATTAACCTCTTGAGAGATATTGGCACGTATGTGTACGTTTAGTTTTTCTTTCTTTCGAACATCGTTCCGAAACTGTAATTAAATAGTCACAAGGAATTCCCTAACAGAAAAGGAAGAATTCTGCTAATTGATTGCCGTTAATATTTATGAATATATTCTAATTAAATGCAGCCGGAGAATAAGAGAAATATTCTTTCGGGTCTTAATAAATTCGTCCTTCAAGAGGTTAATCTTTCCCGTTATTTCGATGATTTCTCGAACGGGAAAGTTCGTGTGTGGTTCTCCGCGAGAACATAAGATCGTGATCGTACTGCATAATGCAGTAGTAATTCGTTCACATCGTGTTTCTTCTTTTCATTTATTTCGTATTGTGTCGTGTGCTTTTTCTGCTGTTTGATTGTGTGCTATCGGGTTTGTTTCTTGGTGTGTAAATGTGACCGAAAAGTGACAGGTGGTTGAATGCATATACTCGTTTTTAGATTTGGTTTATAGGCTGTGGGAAATTACCGTTGATTGGCAGTACTGTCGCTTAAACAGTGAAGAAGTACTTGTGAAATGTGCGATGGGAGGTGTAAATGAGGTTCGAATGTATTTAATGAGGTTTTCGAAATTTTTGTTCGGGGATTCTGGTATTAGACGTTGTGTGTCCTGTGTATGTTTTGGGCAGCCAAAGGTAATAGATCAAAATTATTTGTTTTCGTCATATTATCGTTGTAAATAACAAATGAACGCAAAAACTGTTCGTTCGAATTAAGTATTATATTGGATCGCCGCATGAACTCTGACGATTTTTCGTTAGATAATAGGTTATAATATTGAAAAAGGATGGAACGGATCATTTATTGTGCAGTGAAATGGAAAACACCAGGGAAACAAACTTTTAAGTGCTTTTTGTTGTGAATAAAAAACTGTTAACGATAATTATAGAGATTCCCCCTTAGACCAATTGTGTAATAGATGTTTAACGAACACGAAGAATCACTTCAGCGCTTGCGTAAAATTAAATTCATTACTCGCCGGTTTCGGCGGTGGCTCGACAACACGAAGTAGGCAAAGTTTTCTGGACTTCGGCGAAAGTAATAATCCAATTCTGTGTGTACTGTATTCGGTCAATACCGTAGTAAAATACACATGTACTTAAGCATTTAATATTAAAAGTACAAATGCTTCGATCCATTACGAGATTGTAAATGGTTTTGGGAATCGACGGTTTTCATGTAATTCAACGACACCGACCTCCGATGACCTATCCTGGTATATTCACCGTGTTCAAAAGGTTTATGTGTGTTTTCATGAAAATCACTCCCAAGCTTCCAACTGCATCTATTACATTCGAGTTTAATTAATACAATTTCAGGTAGGGAAAATTCGTGGACTAACAATCGAATAATAATAATGAACACAGAGTAGATTAACCGACTAAAAATCGATTACTAAATGATTTCGATCGAAGAATTAGTGTGACTTGTGTCCCAACACGCGATCCCTTTAATTTCCTATTATTTACACTTTTTACCGTTGATTTTAACCGTTTACACGGGACCACGGAAGTTCTCCAGTGTTCCGTGAAGCCGGCTTCCTGTTCAGGGAGTCCGTACGCTCTTGTTTCAAAGCCCGAATACCGAACTGTACTCGTTTTTTTCTTTCATGCGAATTTCCGCCCGCTCGACGGTTCGTTTCATCCACGAACGGATTCTTTCGGGCGCTTTCTTGAAAACTCTCCCCGTTCGAATGTTTCTAGTTCAGTCATCCCTGTTACCTCGGATAAAGGGTATACCCTAGAATAAAGAGACAGAGGTGCCTTTAGACAGATTTGGGCTTTGGATACACCATTCGATAGCTTACCCAGAAAAAAACCATGTGTGCTGAGTTTCAACCCTCTAACTGAACCAGGAGTGTAGTAATAAGGAAAATTCGGATTGAGTTGATGACTAGGATTCTCAACCCAAAAATTGCAAAAAAATCTTTACCACCGTACCCTGGTAAGTACTATCTATCAGATTTTGTTCAGAATTATTGCGCGTTACTAAATAAGGAAAATAAAGGAAAAATCGGATAATCCTAATTTTCTTTATTACTACCCTCCTAGTCAAGATAGAGGGTTGGAACTGGGTACACGAATTTTTTTCCGGGTAATCTATGGAACCGTATATTACAAGTTCAAATGGGTCTAAGGGTACTATTGACCCTTTTATCCGGCTATACCCATTCGCGGCGTCCTTGTTCCGTTTTCTTCTGTCTGCTTGTTTACGCTGTAATTGTGCTTGATTAAAAACGTCCCAGGGAAAGCGTCGCGGATTTTCATTTCCCGTGAAAGCTGACTCTCGTCTGTGCGGCGGCGGTTCTTTTCAGTTGGGTCGCTTGTTCGGGAAGCTTTTTCATATATTTTTTTTTCCCTTCAAACTAGGCTTCATTCTCGTAACAGAGATGCTTTTTTCAATTGGAACTTTGCCCCGTGTTCCTTTCTCCCGCTCCGTGTGTCTCGGGACCTGACTGAACGCTATCTCGGAATGGTAATTCCAAAATGGATCTAGCCAACGACGATTCGAACCATTCAATTAAGGCGTTGGTTCCCAAAATGGGCGCTGAGGAGATCTGAGTCGGTGTTTTACTCATTTCTTTTTATTTTCAACTTAACTTTTTATGATTTAAAGATTACACGCATACGTCCTAATGGGTTAAACAAAATTCCATTTGTCTGTCGTTTGCAAGTTAGATGGTCACGTTCGGGACTTTGAAAATTAGGTTAGAGTTTGTCTAACAGAAAAGGGCTCGATACGGGTCACCGTTGACCCCCCCCCCCCAGGCTGGCTCGTGGTCGGAAGGTTGCCTGTTCGAGGGTTAATATACCCTAACCACCACTCACGGATGCGTCGCGTTGGAAATCCCCTCGAGGCACTCGCAGTTTCTCGTGTGTTCCAGGAAAACGCGGATAGAAATTGCATTCCTGGCCGTTTAGAAAGTGCACACAGACGTGTGCGTGTCGTGTGGATTTCACAGGAATTAATTGACTCGACGGCAATCCGTGCTTCGGACTACATATATGTACACACGAACAAACGCGTCGGATTTGCGCGATCGGTGAATTTCACACGCGTTTCCAACAAATGGAAAATCGAATACTGCAGTGTCACTGAACCGTTATAATTAAAAAAGTGTGTGCGTCTGTGCGCACGCGAATACGGAACAGGAAGAACTGGGGGAAAACGGGGGGAGACAAAAAACAGGAGAGTATGTATTATTGTCACGCGACTATGACCGTAACGAACAATGTTAGTTTGAGGTTATTTTTACGGTAATTTTTAAGGGTTAATCGTGGAAACTTTGAGAAGGGGATGAATTTTGAAATATAGTAAATTGCTTTATTGGTACTGCTGATAAATCGAGCCAGTGAAAATAGGAGATACGTGACCGGGTCGTTCACCCTTGTAAACCAAGCCTACTTTTTTTTTTCGCCGTTTCTGGGGAAGGAACGATTGGTAATTGGTCTGTTACGAGGTGAAGGATGATCACGTTTTCAGTCGACGAGCGTTTTTTTTCTCATCTCTTGTCGCTCGAAACTGAAAAATATAGGGCACTCGGAGCACATTCGAGGATCGATTACCCGTAACCAGTGAATTGTATAGCCACCATATGTGTGTCGAGTGCATTCATTTCTTTGTTGAGATCGGAGCTCTTGTAATTACCAATTATACTGTTCGAAATAATTACTGGATCAGTTACACAAAGAAGCGACAAGTAACGAGCGAAGGTTCTTTAGCACTGAATTCCTAGCCTCATGTAACAAGTACATTTTCCGTGGAAAATTGTCGAGTTATAATAATAATTTGTTGTTTAAATTCTGTTTATTTCAATGAATGCTACCAACACGAAGCAATTACTGTATAGTTGATTGAATGTTTATAAATAATGAATAACCTACATTTTACAACAACTTATGTTTCATCGTTTACTGACCTACATTGAGATAAACGTTATTCATTGAGCTTTAATATTCCCCTAAGAATATACTTATTTCAGACTTTCAGAAATTTCGTAATGGTGGGACCAGCCGTAACATGCACGTTCCTTGTGAAAATACAAATCGAAAAGTCCTTTACCGTTTTGTAATCGGAAGCTCCATTTCCGAGATATTAGCGGTTGAACGAACTCCAATACAGCTGAGCAGTCGGCCACGCGTACGGCTGATCGTTCAGCTGATTGGAGTTCGCTCAACCGCTAATATCTCGGAAACGGAGCTTCCGATTACAAAACGGTAAAGGACTTTTCGATTTGTATTTGCACGGGGAATGTGCATGTAACTGCTTGTCACATCATTTTGGGACACCCTGTATACGTTCAGAATTATTAGAACGCCGCTGTTGACTCGCCCGGGTACAAGCTCGGAGATAATCAACCAAGACGACAGAGGAGTATTCCTTCAATTGTAATTATTTCCTACGACTATAGCTCCCTCTGTGCGATACACAGCCGTCACAAGCAAACCAGCCTTAATTTCTCGGGTGTTAAATATCTTCCCCTCGTGCAAAAGCGACAAAAGGTCGCCGTCTATGCGCGCAAACAAGCGGTCTCGGATTTCTGAAATCTCTCCCGACTCGTTGCCCCTCCTCCCTTGTTTTCTCTCCGACAATTGATATTTAACGGCGAATTCCGTGCGAAACATACATTCACTCCGTAACTACGACAACCTTGGTTGCCCTTTGACGCTCGCTAGGGGCGTTCGGTTCTCTTAAAAAATCGAAACCAAAGATTCAATACTGCAAGAATCAATCGAAAAATCGTAAAAAAAAAATAGATAAGGTTTTCCATTTGAATCGACCCACTCGAATCTCTCCGAAACTATTGACGATATTAAAAAATGTTTCAGGCAAAAGTTAAATGTTAGAGGTTATATGAAGGTCAGCTTTGTTTTTTTTTAATGGAATCGTATATTTTGTTAATAAGGCGAATATCTATCGAAGTTCCAAGATTTTTCGGA